GTGTGGACAAACAGAAAGCCATGGATTCGGACACATTTCAGGAACTGGCCATGCAGCAATAAGCTGCCTTCTGTCAGGATTTGGACCACAAGTTGACAGCATGACTCAAGACCCAAATTGCAAATACTGACTCTGCACAATGTTTTAGTGAATAAAATTATTGAAACGTATGAAATGCCTGCTCCTGTACTTCAATACCCACAGAAACATTGGACAAAAATATCTAAAAAGCCCAAAGGAACAAACATTTTAAAAAATAATACTTGAGTGATTTGCAAACCTTTGGCTGTGGTTGTACTTACATCAGCATGCCCCATAACACAACCAACTCATTAATGTTGGCATTACAATGCAGCCAAAACACCAAGGAACCCCAATACAGTCAGATTTTTGTATTTCTAATGACCATAATATGATTGAACATTAAAATAATCAAAGGAAGCAGTTGGCTGTTAATGAGTTGAAGGCGCTACAACATTAAAGGAGATAGAACGGGGAGTCTCCTCTTCTCCACTGAACTGGAACAATAACCTAACTTTGGTCTTTTTATCGAGGTTTGTAGGGCACACATTTTGTGAATGACGGATGCACTCAGCCACTCGAGGTTGTTGTACTGTAAATAGCCGTTGAAAGATCTAGAACAGCTGATAGCCGGAAGGGGGGAAAAGTCTGTGTACTAAATTCTGTTTATACACGCAGACATCTGAAGTCCAAATCAGGGTTTTATAGAGTTTATTACTATTTTTATTTATTTATTTTTTAAATTCTAAGCTAAATACCCATCCATTAAAGATCAAAGCAGTCAAGGCCCTCAGCAGCAACTTCAAATGAAACCGTAGGTTGTTCGATAACATTCATGATATTTGGATATTTCTTCAGATCTTGTGTAATATAATTCTTGTGAAATGAGAGTGGATGAAGCAGGGTTTAGCTAAGGCGAGGATTCAGTAGTGTGTAGCATAAACAGATCCCTCATCAGGGAGTGAATTAAATCTAAGAGCTTGACAGATGTTTTGATGAATTTGGCAACATTTAGAAAAATGACAAACTGAAAACAGTTCAGGAATTTAAAGGATTAAGAATGATTTTCAGAATGCAAGGCATGATAATATAGTATGTGTAGACACATGTGTATTTTTTATACACAGCTGGATGGACTCAGAATCAAACACTTCTGATTAGACCATCAATGTTTCTTAATTATAGGAAATCAGTAATATGTGTTAATGATTAAATCCATTATAATAGCAATGGTGTCTGAAATGTTCCTTTTACTAGAGTTTCAGAATGTGTTTTATGAGTTTTTTTATGAGTTTGGTTGGAAAGATGCTGAGAAATACATTGATAAAGTAAAATATGCACCAGTCTTTTGACAAAAACTCCCTAAATTCTGTTATGTTGAGATCTGAAGGGGAGTATAACTTGAGTTTAAGGACTTACGACGGGGGTTTCCATTCACAAGGGATGGCTGATTTATTTCTGAGTCATGTTCAGGCTTCCTGTTATACCATGGTCATGGATCTCCTTGTGCTTTTTGGTCAGATACATTCTGTCTCCTTGTCACACCAGGCTTCTGGTTCCAGTTAACCCACCTGCTGCATATTTTGTGTTTGTTCACATCAGTATAACTCACGGGTTTGTTTGTTTCTAGATCCTTGTTTGTGGGAACCTTACTTTGTTGTTTTACCCTTGTGCTTGTGGATTTATTTATATGAAGATTCAGTCCACCTTGGTACTCTGGATTTCTTCTCTATTTGGGTCTACAGTATACCTCCACACACCTTTTTTGTTGTGAAGCTGTCACCTTTTGTCACAAACTGTGACCTTCCAATAGTTTTCAGACCGATATTTTACAGATCTCAAGAGTCGGGTGGAGGGTAAATCATTTCCTACTTGGTTGACTTTGTTGATCTGGAAGTTGGAGTTTATATGCTGTCACAGAAGAGGATCTATTTGAGCATGGCTAGATCGCCATGGTAACAGCCTATAACCTGCTCACTCACCATATGGAAGAAGCAACAGTTGCTCACATATTTTGTTCTTAGTGACTGAAACAACATTCAAATGTTTTGAAAATATGTGAGATTGTCAAATAATCCAAGCTCTGGCATCATCTTTAGACCCAATCAGCATCAACTCAATCCCAAAAGTTTCCACCTTGGTTGCTGTACAAATGGTAGCCCACTCCTCCACAGAGATTGATCAAATGAAGAGAAGCATTTCTCCATGAGATGTACAGTATCAATAATGATAATAATAATAATAATAATACACATAAAATAGAAAAAATAATTCAGATTGCAGCAGGAATAAAAGAAAATAAGTAATTACATGTTACTTATGTGTTAATTGTTAAACAGCATCAAATCTATAAATTAATCAGTTATTTTGCCCTGATTTGCCAAAAGTCACGTAAAGAGCTTCTGAACAGAGAATAATAAATAAAAACTAATTTAATGTGATCAATGAAGTGATTTATGCAACAGAGTCTCAGATAGTTCTGAACAGAAGAAAAGCAGCAGGTATTATTTCCATGATTTACTGAAATCTTCCTCTCTGGTTCTACTGGGAACACTGGTTTTTCATCACTCTCCATTGATAACATCTGTTATAACACCAGTCTTTATGCAGGAAGTCTCAGGACTGGTGAAGTAGATTTTTCCTCACCTGTAACTTTATTAGTCCAGTTGATGAATTTTGATGAGGAAAGCATGAAATCAGGTGTGAAACGTGAACTTTATTGTGAAGGCTTTTTGAGATGTGAGCTGGAAACCTGAATGAAAACAATAACATCTTATTCATGTTGCAGCACCTTTCATCTCTGTGGAGTTTTAGGTCTGGTTAAGGCTGACTGAAGTGCACGCCTCTGCTCTGCAAAGTGATGTAAAGCATAAGCCAGTATGAAGTTAAACAGCAAATTGGTTGGGAGCACATGTGTGTTCATTATTAAATGTGATGATTTAAATCCAGGTGGAGATAGAAGCAATTCAAACTAACGACTGGATTTGCTTGTGTTACTCAAGCGAGTTTAAACAACTGAATTAAAGTCATTTAGCATCAAACACAAATCTACCTTTTTTGTTATGACACCTGCTGCAGATTTAGGCTATGGTCTGGTTGTAAACTCACATTTCAGAGATGAACAAAATGTTCTCATTTTCTCCTCTCAAACTTATTCTCATGTTAACTTTTCCGGCCCTACTTTCTCAGTTTGTGTTGTGACTTTTGTGTTTGTTTTTTCTACAAAAGCCAAAAGTGCACAGCGAGGAGAATACAACTTTTCCTGACCCATCTTTTGCTGGTTCGTGTGCCGTTATTTTAGCCTCCAGTACGATGTAAAAACAAGGGATTTTTTTCTGCTGTATTGTGTTTATAACATCTGCTCTCACGCTAGTGTAAAATGACTTTGGGGTTTTGCTTTCCAGACTTGTTTTCGTGCATGCACAAGAGGTCTTTGTAGATATTTGTACCTGATAAAGCCTCTCTAGTTCCAGCTAAGTAGAAAACACATCTTTCTATTGACATTTGCAGATTTGATTAACCTTTCTTTCCTCACTCTGCTCTGTACATGCCATTAACATTTAAGGGTTTCACATACAAGGTGATTTTTTTCTTCAGTTCTTCAGTTTCTCAGGTTGTCTGACCTCATTTGTGCTCCATTTTAGTCATCTTTTCACTATTCGTTCCCCTCCCTTTACTGCGCGATGTTTCCCCCTCTGGGCGGTCTTGCTTTAAATAATTGAGCATCAGTAAGAACCTTCAAACATGCTAATATCACCCCACTATTAAATTTCATTATTTGTCTCGTGCGGTAAGATTTAATTTATTAAGATTGAGAGCCTGAAATAGCTGCTTGTGCCAGATTCTGGCAGTTGGATTAGGAAATGCAAACCGTCTCTCACTTTGTGCGCCGGGGTTGTTGTTGATGATATAACAACAGACCGTTTCATTTAGCTTTCAGTCTGACACCCTCACGGGATGTCGCACAAAAATTTTAGCATATTGAATCTATTAAAGCAATGAAATATTCTGTCAGTCACACAAATGTAAGCAAACGTGCCTTTCTGCAAAACACAATAATGGGCATCAATACTGCAGAGGTATTACAGGCAGAAACAGTGAGTCAAAGGAATATTCTGCTTCTACACATAAGACTGTAATGTGAATTATGAATGCTTCTTACTACTCTGAAAATAGTTTGGCTCATTCCTTTTCTGTCAGCTACTTGCTTCCAGCTTGGCATTAAACTTTCATGTGTGTTTTGAGCTGTTAGGGAATGCTCTCTTTTTTCTGGCCCCTCTGGACCTCAGCTGCTCAGGATTTATTGGACATGTTACACACCTTTGTACCAGCCTGTTTACTGGCAAACTCTCTCACATCTCTTTAATAAAAGAGCCCATCTTTCTCATCCCAAACTACAAACTGCTTAATTTAGCTGTATCCGGGTGAATCAACACGGTTTTGTTGTGTAATGATTCCAATCTTAAGTCCGGAGAAACGTCTCTAGCTGCTGTTAAGGTTGTTTAAAACCCCAGGCAGGATAGAGTTGCTTTGTGTTGTGCCACAGAAGAAAATGAAATCTGGTGGAGCAGAGGGGACACTGATTGGTATTCTTCTTGCATCACCTTACTCCCTTTCCTCCCAGCGGCCAGAACCCAGTGTCTAAGCGGTCCTATATCGCAGACCCGGGTGTGCTGTCTGCTGATAATAAACAGCCCAAACACTGAGGCGAGTTACAGAGCTGAGTTACAGCGTGGCCACACCGCTCTGTCTATCTCGCCTAAAGGTTGAGGGAATCTTTGCTTTATGTTCAGCATGTCTGGGTCTGAATGACACCGGGGCTGTTGGGAGTGACTGGGATATTGGCATCTAGCCCACCAACTATAATGGATTGAACTCCACAAAGACGGCTGTTAAATGATGTTTCTTTGTCAGCTTCTTGTCAAATCTCCCTCTGTTCACCAGGGACGAGCCTCTGACCCTGTTCCCCTGTGTTGTAGGTCCTCCCCTCTCTTCCTTGTGTGAGGAGATTGCTGCTGCCATCGTTACTCCAAGTCCAGACCTCCCCACCCTTTCTCCACCCCCTCCTCTGACATTGCGGGGCAGCCACCGAAAGCTTGGCTGGATTCCAAGGAGGCTCCGATCCTGCAGCCACATCCATCACGTCTTCACCACTGGGTAACTATCAAGCATGCGAGCAGAAAGCTCCTGCTTTTGGATGTTTTCCGGGAGGCGGAGCAGCACAGAGGTTTGACATTATGCTGTCCCTGTTTCTGGAGTCTGTTCTTCATGCTTATTTGTTGCTTCTGGACTCACTCATGTGTGCAACCTTCATGCAAAAGAGGCATTTTCTCCAGCCAAGCATGTAATAACATACAGTCTCTCACACCCACACAGAGACACTTCAGGGCTCAGAAAGAATTGTTCAAGGTTTCATTAGAGGTTATTTTGTAATGACTCATTTGACTTTTGACTCCAGGTATCATCATCTGAACTGTCTCCACTCTGTGTTGAACTACACCAAAGAATTACTTTAGTTCTCAAAGCTGCACTAATACTATCAGAACAACAAATATGCTGTGTGTGAGGAGCCGCTTCGAATCATAAACCCACAGATAATCGCTAAACAAGCCTCAGCAGACCTCCTCAGGGATGTGGGGCACTTTGAGACTCTGTTCAATTTGCTGGTTGCACGTCCTGAATCACTGTGTGTTTTTGTTCATACTTGATGCTTGCAGCAGACTGGTCTACAAACTAATGACAAACATGCACAGTGAAGCATCTGGCAGGGTTATGATTAGAAAAACATGTTTTTGTCATTACAGTCATCAGGTTTAGGCTCAATGATGGGTTTTTATAGCTGAAGACGGTACACGCTTCTGCCTGCATATCAATGCCACGAACGACAAGCTGCTTTACAATATTGTCGGTATTTCCATATTTGGCAACACAAATCTTAACACAGATGTTACCTTTATCTCTGCTGCCATTTACTTTCACACAAAGCCAAAACTTAGATTATTTTTGGCATTTTCGTAGTCTGCAAACTCAGGCAGGTGCTGTTTTTATTGAGAGGTATGATTGTGTGTAAGTGAGCCCCTAGTCACGTGACCCGAGGCATAAAGAGGAACGGAGCTGAACCCAACAGGGATGAGTTGTTGGGGAAAATACAAAAATATGGAGTGGAGGAGTTCCACTTTTCTATGGTCTAGTTCACACCGGCCCGATTGGTGCTTCGTCTGCAAAAATGCGGATGTTGTACCAGTCTGTCTGTTGGTGAAGGTTCTCAGTCATCCAGGTCATGGTAATCCAAAAGGGCTCAAATGATGGCAAATGGACTTCTTTGGATTCTTGAAGATGTTTCGCTTCTCATCTGAGGAGCTTTGTCAATTCTGACTGGAATATGGGGTTCTTTCTTTCTTTCTTTCTTTCTTTCTTTCTTTCTTTCTTTCTTTCTTTCTTTCTTTCTTTTTATCTGTCTGTCTGTCTGTCTAAGTTTTGAACATTTTCTTACAGTTGTCAATTCTTTTTCTAATAAATTAGCTTTAGTTCTTTTATAACACATATTTTATAGATATTTTTCATAATAAAAATTGTTTCTAGTTAAAGCTGCAAACCAAGACTTAAAGCATGCACAAGTGATCAAATATGATCACTTCACCAATAAAGTGCTAATTACCACATCAAGACAATAAGCAATGGCAGTTTTTCTTCTTTTAAGTTTCAGTTCCTTTCAGGCAAAAAGGAGGCTGCACAGTGGTGCAGTGGTTAGCACTGTTGCCTTGCAGCAAGAAGGTCCTGGGTTCAAATCGCGACCTGGGGTTTTTCTGCCTGGAGTTTGCATGTTCTCCCTGTGCATGCGTGGGTTCTTTCCGGGTACTCCGGCTTCCTCCCACCATCCAAAAACATGACTGTTAGGTTCATTGGTCTGTCTAAATTGTCCTTAGGTGTGAGTGTGTGTGCTTGGTTATTTGTCCTATGTGTCTCTGTGTTGCCCTGTGATGGACTGGCAACCTGTCCAGGGTGTACCCCACCTGCTAGCCTGGAGACAGCTGGAGATAGGTGTCAGCCTCCCCGCGACCCTGTGAGGATTAGTGGGTAAAGACAATAGATGGATGGATGGGGCAAAACGGTTAATTAAAATAATGTAACAATTTTTAACTTTGTATTCTAATCTCCAAAGCTTTTATAGTGTCTTTATTTTGATAAGAGACTAAAATGAGCTCTACCAGGTGGTTAACTGATCAGTTAAAGGGCCAATGGCTTTTACTTACCTCTAGCATCACTTACCTATCTACTTTCTGTTACCTCTTGTCTCAATTAGACCGTTTTGCTTCATATAAAAGTTAGATGAGAAAATCTTTGGTACGTTCTTGCTGTGTACTTCTACACTGTAAAAAGAAAAAAGTTGACCCAACTTAAAAAATTGCTTCAATTGGCAACAAGCAATTTAATTAAGTTCATCCAACTTAAATTATTGGTACAATTTTAATAATTATGGTTGGATAAACTTAATTAAATTGCTTGTTACCAATTGAAATTATTAAATTAGGTTGATTAAACTATTCTGTTTTTTTCAGTGTAATTCCATTTTTGGTTCTTTTTTTAAAACAAAGAAAAGGTTTCTTTTTACCTTGCTGACAATTTCGTTTGCGGCTGCAAACATTCTCAAAGCTGACGCTGATGGTGGCGTCACTTCCTACTCCGTTTATCCGCGGGCAGCAGAGGACTTCGCCCTCTACCCTAAACATAAACACATATAGGAAATCAACACACACAGACCAATATTTATTATGGACATCAGAACACTCCACCATACACAAAATGTCAGTAATCAGAACATTATATCACTGAGCAAACATGATAATAGAAGAGAGAGACCGTAAACAAGAGGACAAACACATACAACACGCTTTAAAGACCTGCAGATACCCGACATGGGCAATAAACGAAGGAAAACAACAAACAACAACAGAAAGAAAAGAACAACCAAAGCAAAGAACCAGAAACCCAGAAAGACAAGAACCAAAACCAGTGATAGCCCTACCATACATCAAAGGCATAACAGAAAAAATAAGAGCAACAATGAAAAAAGACAAAAACACACTAACAAAACCATACACAACAGTTAGAAACAGACTAGTACACCCAAAAGACAAGATACCAGCTGGACATAAATGTGGAGTCATTTACGAAATCCCATGCAAACTCTGCAATAAAACATACATAGGAGAAACCAGGCGCCAACTCAACACACAAACAATAGAACATAGAAAGGAGTGTGAGAAAGAAACAAGTCGAAGACACACAAGAGCAGCAAAACAAGAAGCAGAAAGTACAATAAAGAAGTCAGCCGTAACAGATCGCTGCACAAGAAAAAACCATATAATGGACTGGGACAGCACACGGATCATAAACACCGAACAACAGAAATACAAAAGATGGATAAAGGAAGCTATAGAGATAAGGAGACGTGGATGTGGGACCACAAACAGAGACGATGGAGTTTACTCGTTGGATCGTGCATGGGACTGCATCATCGGAGAGGGGAGAGTGGGCAGCAGAGGGCGACAACGTCCTCTGCTGCCCGCGGATAAACGGAGAAGGAAGTGACGCCACCATCAGCGTCAGCTCTGAGGATGTTTGCAGCCACAAACGAAACTGTCAGCAAGGTAAAGAGAAACCTTTCCTGTGTTTTAAAAATGAACAAAAAATAGATAAGAAAATATTTGGAAAGTATAGATTTAACTCAGCAGAACTAAAAAGGTCAGATTTTAAAACCTCACTCTGATCTGATCTGGCTCTTATCAGCTGAGTCCAAGGCAGACAGAGAAGTCTGGAGATGTTTTTGATAAAAACATAAATAGCTGTGGGCTAATACAGTCAAATTGTGGGTTGGGATAAATATTTGTATCAGAGTGATGCTTGTCCATATTTTAAAAACTTGTTTTCAGCTGAACTCTGAGCCGCCCCTACATGACCAATGTGCTTTGGCCTCAGACAAAAGCTAAACTTTCTGATGCAAATAAAAGTAAAACTGGGCCAATTTTTTTTTCCCTTTTAATAATTTCATCAATTTAGTGACTTCAGATTTGGAGCAAAGTGCAAATATTTTTTATGTATTCAATGAAAATACAGATTTGTGTAGTTTTCTACCGTGACTATTGTGCTGACCATAAGGTTTAATCAGTACCAGTTTAATACCGGAGAAGAAGTGATGGGATAATTTAATGGTGCTTTTATATCTTTATATCAATTTATAATTTAATAGTTGGGCAGAATTGTCTTTATAGATCATGGGAATTTGTTTCCTTAATTCTTTTTATACGTTTTAAAGATTTTTGATCAATGGAAACAGATCCCCCTGCTTAAATGATTCGTATTTACTAGGTATTAACCGATACCAAGAACCGATACCAATACAGTAGCTTGAAATTGGCTTCACTGTAACTTGTCATTTCTGTTCCCTTAATATTTTAGTTTTGTGATAATTTCTATTCATATAATTTACTTTTTATCTACCTCACAGTCTTTTCCTGTTGAAAGACAGAGAAGAAAATAAAACCTGTATTCCAATTCATAGCATTTTTTTTGTGTGCGGTAGAAGTATCGGTATCGGTAATCGGTATCGACGAGTACTCAGTTCCAAGTATTGGAAAAAAGTGGTATCGTTGCATCCCTAGTATTTACATTTTAAGAAAGTGTAAAAAATTGTGCACATAAAATTCAGATCAAGTCATCATCATGGTATGAAGCCCAGTAAGAAAATAAAGTAAAAAGTAAAATAAAGTTTAGTAAACTGTTTTTAGATTTACTGATAACAACTCACTGTGCATCACGCCCAGGCAGACAGGACAGTAGCATGAAACTAGGAGGGAGATCACATAGTGATCACAGTGAATGGTCATGTTATATAATTGCAAAACTGTGTAACCCTTCCACTGTCCTATCAGGTGACCCTGACCCCTGAGGGGTGGTTAAACAGGGTTTAAAGTTTATGCTTTGGCAGGGGTGAAGTGATGCACCCCTAAAAAAAAAAAATACACCAGAGGTCCATCTGACCCCATTAAAAATGTGGGAGGGTTAAAAGTTCTTGTCCCCACAAATCTTTGCATGTCGTTTTTTTGGTGATTTGGTTGCCATCCTTTCTCAAAGCTGATTTACACGCTGCACATTTT